ATTACACCATATCCAAAAGCTGCTAAGAATGGTCTGAAAGGGATATATTAATAGATTATGAGATAGAAAATAGAGCAGGATGCCAGTGGGACCCAGAGGGACTGGGATCCAGAAAAGGGAAAAGGTCTGGGTCACCTCATCTCTCCTGACACATGGGAAGCTGGGGGTATGGGCACAGCCAAAGGCAGTGTGGCAGATACGCTGGACAGCAGATGAGGAGCTCTTGTTTAAAGCTTTCATTTTCCCAGAAAAAGCAGGATATCGTCTACTCCTGGGAGAGGACGGGGAAGGGAAAGAGGGTGAAAGATGCATGTAGATTTAAGGAGAGAGAGGAATGTAGGAATTATATTACTGCAGAGTGGGAAAATAAAGAATTAGGGAAGTGTAAGAGGACTAGTAGGCAAAATTAAAGGCCCAAGAAGATTTTTGTGGTAATTGGTTTAAAATGAGAATTCTTCAGAGGTTATATGATTTTTTTTTTTTTTTGCCAGCAAAGGTAGCTGATAAAGTGAATTTTAAATTTTTAGTAAACTTACATTTCACCTTTTTTTCTAAGCAGCCATTTATTTTTTAATTTATCTTTATTGTTAAAGTATTATAGATATCCCCCCCCCCTTTTTTTAAATCTTCACCTGAGGATATTTTTTCCATTGATTTCTAGAGAGTGGAAGGGAGGGAGGAGGGGGAAAGGGAAAAAGGGGAGGGAGGGAGAGAAGGGATGAGAGAGAAACATGTACGTGACATCAATTGGCTGCCTTCCTGGGAGATACATGCCCCGGGAATGGAACCTATGACCCTTTGGTCTGCAGGCTGATGCTCTAACCACTGAACCAAACAGGCCAGGGCTAGATGTCCCTCTTTTCCGCCCCATTGCCCCCTACCACACTACCCCTGCCCCCACCAGGCCTATCACACTATTGTAATTATGCTTATATGCATATACATTCTTTGATTAATCTCTTCCCGAGCCCCACCCTCATCCCCCTTCCCTGTAAGATTCATCAGTCTGTTCCATGCGTCATGTCTCCGGATTTATTTTGTTTGTCAGTTCATTAGATTCCACATATAAGTGAGATTATATGAAAAGAAATCATCAACATAATGAAAAGGGATCCCACTGTATGGGAGAACAATATTTGCCAATGATATATCTGATAAGGGGTTAATTTCCAAAATATATAAAGAACTTATACAACTAAACAAAAGGAAGACAAACAATCTAATTAAAAAATCAGCAAAGGACCCAAATAGACACTTCTCCAAAGAGGTCATATAGATGGTCAAGAGACACATGAAAAAATGCTCAAAATCACTAATCATCAGAAAGATGCAAATTAAAATAACAGTGAGGTATTACCTCACACCTGTCAGAATGGCTACCATCAACAAATCAACAAATGACAAGTGCTGGCGAGGATGTGGAGAAAAGGGAACCCTAGTGCACTGCTGGTGGGAACGCAGACTGATACAGCCACTACGGAAAACAAAGTGGAGTTTCCCCAAATAATTAAACATGGAACTGCTAGTTGACCCAGTGACCCCACTTCCAGGTATATATCCTAAGACTCTGAAAACACGAATCAGAAAGAATTATGCACCCCTATATTCATAGCAGCGCTATCTACAAGAGCTAAGATCTGGAAACAGCCCAAGTGCCCATCAGTCGGTGAATGGGTAAAAGGCTGTGGTACATTTATACCATGGAACACTATGCAACTGTAAAAAAGGATCTCCTTCATCATTGATGTTTCTTTCTCTCGCTCCCTATCCCTTCCTTTGTGAAATCAAAAAATATATATTTAAATAAAAAAAAGGCTCTCTTACCCTTTGAGCCAGCATGGAGAGACCTGGAGAGTATTATGCTAAGTGAAATAAGCCAGTCAGAGAAAGGCAAGTGTCACATGCTCTCACTTATAAATGGAATCTAAGTAACCATTTAAGTCAAAGGCTTTATAGTTTCGTTTTCTTTTAGTACTTTAAAATCACAAATAAAAACAGTGTTTACTTTCTTTTCCTTATTAATACTTTCAGACCATTTAAGTCAAAGCTTTTTAATTTTGTGAACTGATTATATGTTGATGTTATTTAACTGTGGTTGATGATGAAAAGATTAGGTGGTAGGCTAGCAGTTAAATGAATCCGGGTGATTGGCTCGGGGCCGATAAGGGCAGTTGGGATATAAAAGCAAGAAGTATTTGCTGTAATTGCGTCACACCTTGCCATTGTTACTTCATTCCTCCACTTCACAGTGCATCAATCATTCATTCATTCAACAAATACTTACTCGGCACCTATTATTTGCCAGGCACTGTTCTATATGCAGAGGATACACCAGTGAACAAGAGAGACAAGGTTCCTGCTTTCCTGGAACTTATGTTCTAATACAGGAAGATAGACAATAATAATAAAAAATAATATTAATTATAATAATAGCCAACATTTATTTAACAAGTACTGTTTTCTGAGACAGTTTACGTGCTTTACAAGTATTAATCCACTAATTCTTATAATAACATTATGAAGTACAAACTAGAATTACTCCCGTTTTACACATGTGGAAACTGAGGGCACAGAAAGGAAGAACAGCTTGCCTAAGATTACACAGCAAGGAAAGGGCAGAACTGGAATTTAGAACCAAACCAGTCAGGCTATCGCTCTCTTTCCCTTTAATGACTTTTCTACGCTGGCTCTCAGACAAGACACAAAGCAATACACAAATAATAGGTTTCGTAGTATGAAAAACAAAGCAGGGTAAGGTGGTGGTATATGTGTGTGCAAATTTGGGGGGCAAATTTAGATGCCAGGGAAAACCTCACTGAGGAAGTGACATTTGGACTGAGACCTGAAGGGCCCTAGTAGCTATTCTGGGGCACAGGCAGCAGAGAAAAGCTCGTGTAAAGAAATCTGTCCTTGTGTGTGAAACAGAAACGCCTGCTTGGCTGTGGCTAGACCTTAAGTGTGGAAGATAGTGACCAATTAGAAAAGCCAGGGCGACAGGCAGGCCAGGCCACGCCGGATGGGTCCTCGGGCCGCATTAAAAAATGTAATCATTGTTCTAACTGCCATGGATCTCTATGCAGGAGATAACACTACCCGATTCATAACTTTAAAAGGCCCCTCTTGCAGCTCTCTGCAAAATTGCAGGTAGGACACAAGTGCAAGCAGGAACATCTCCTAGGAGGCAGTTACAATCCAGGCGGAAAATGGTAGCGGCTTGGACTAGGGCAGGGACAGCGGAACAAAATTTAGGGTAAATTTGCAAAGTTGCATTGGCAAGACTTGCAAAGGGACGGGACAGTGAAGAGTGACTGAAGAGGAATTTAAGTAGGAGCCTCCAGACTGGGGGCTGAGTTACCAGTGCGATGGTGGTGTCCCCAAGGGGATGTGTAAGGGGAGGGGAGAGATACCTTCAGCAAGGAAAATCAATACTGACATTTTTGAACTTTATGGAAGAAAGGACTTTTTCTACTTTTTTTTTCCCACTTAAAAGTTTCAAATAAGAGTTCTGGGTGGTAGTGGGGGGGGGAGCATCTTAATGTTCAATTTTATGAGCTCTTTTACATTAGAAACTCGAGGGAGTTGAATTTTCAATTGTTTAGCAAAATAATTTATTGAGCATCTACTCTGGCCACGCACTGTGCGATGAGAGAGCATGATACGCTAAGCAAACAAGACCCCCTGCTCGCAGAGTGTCTGGGGGGCCGGAGGGGGAGGAGAGGGAAGGAGGGCTGATCTCTCCCCTGTTCGCTGCCTCATTAAAACTTCACCTATTGCGCGAGGAGCCATCTTATCACGGCAGCTCGCGCTCCTGGCAGTTGGGCCCACCGCTCCCAACGCCCGAAGCCAAGTCATACATGAATGAATCTTTAAAAATCGTGACACCACCCCTCCCGCTAGAACTCAGGTTTTTTTAAAATATAAAATTTTAGCAAACAATACGAATACAACCTTTGCTCTGAAGGCTAATATTTTTTTTTTTTTGCAGGAATGGTACCTTTATAAAGATCGTGGTTGCCCCCGTACTTATTTGTTCTTTCTTCATATCCACTTAAATGAAAATACTAGTGTTTCCGTAGCCCAGCCCTCTAGGCTGGTTGGGTCTAGCTCTGGAGAGAGGCAGCAGGAGCCGTTGGATTTAAACAGTTGGGAGGAATCCTTCTCTACGCTCCCTCTCGCTAGCCGGGGACGTGGTGGCGGCTACCCGGGGCTTTCCGTCCACGCAGTACCGGAATGAAGGAGTCTGGGAGGGGGTCGGGGAAGGAAAAGACGGAAGAGACATTAAGTAATTGGTTCTTGAAGGTATAAAATGATGTTTAAGATCAGCTCTAAGGCACCGAATTCAAACGACCGCCCCCTCGGCCGTTTCGGCCCCGCCCCTCGCTGACGTCACGCCGACTTCCCCTTCGGCCCCCGCGGATTGGTCGCTTCCTCCGCCCCTGAAGGGCGGCCAAAGGGCTCGGCGTTCACTTCCGGGTCTTGGGCTCTGGCCCCGGATGCAGAGGATTCTGGGAGCCCGAGAGTCGATGGAAATGTCTGTGTGATCTCCGGAGGCTGCAGAGACGGAGGGACGAGAGCAGGTTGTCTTTCTCGTCCGAGTGGGGCGGGAGGGGGCGGTTGGGATCGGAGTCGCGGGCGGAGGGCCCTGCGTGGGCCCCGGGCGCCGCCGAGAGCGCAGCGCGAAGGCAGCGCTGCAGACGGCGCTCCGCGGGTCCGGGCCTCCCCGGCCCTCGCCCAGTCGGTGAGGGGAAGTCCGCGGGTTCCTGCCGGCATCCCGACGGCGCACTCCCGGGAAACGGGAATAGTTATCCAGCGGCAGGAAACACTGTGTCTCCCCCGCGGGATACGGACCTTCCTTTCCCTTTTTTGAAAATCTAGAGACGTGCGCCAGTCCCCCCTACATCCCCCGCGCACTTGCTTTTCCGACGCTTAACGGGGTCTTAGGAGCCACTTGTATTATGTTAGTTTAATGTTATTTTGGCTGTTCATAGCCAAAAGCAACGTAAGGCCGGGTCCCTGAGGGTATCAGCATCCTTGGGGGTGGGGTTCCTGCCTTTGGAGCGTTCCTTAAGTTATAACTTACAAAAGATGTGACTTGTGCTATATTGGCTGCTGTAAGAAACAGTTGGATCAGCAACAGGCTGGGGAATTTTGCCCAGGTAACTGTTAGTGTTTGTTTTTGTTATTTAGTCCTCACGCGAAGACATCTTTCCATTGTTTTTAGAGAGCGTGGAAGAGGAAGGGAAAGACGGGAGAAGTACGTGTCAATCTGGGAGAAACACATCGACTGGTTGCCTCCTGTCCGGGCCCTGAGCAGGTCCCAGGCTGGGGAGGGACCTGCAGCCGCGGTACCTTCCTTGGTCAGAATCGAACCGGGACCCTTTGGTCCGCAGGCCGAGGCTCTGTCACCGAGCCAAACGGGCTCCCCGCGGTAACTGTTACTGAGGTTTAGCACACTTTTCCCCAGGACACGCAGTGATATTATCTTTTTTTGTGAGGTTTAAATATCCCTTTTGTAGTGTCTAGCGTCTAGTAGCCTGTTTTCTGTTGTGTGAGGTTTAGGTAAAAGGCGGGCCGCAGGGGCTCTGGTGGAGTTGAGAATTTTTAAAACTCAGTCGTGGCAATACTGTATTTTACAAGGGCTTTGCTGCTCAAATCCTATATACTAAAAGGCTAATATGCAAATTGTCCCCTGGACCAGTGGGCTGGCCGGTCAGCCTACTGGGACACCTCCCCAGGGGTGGGGCCAGCTGGACCCGCCTGGGCACGAATTCGTGCACCGAGCCTCTAGTCTCGTAATAATTCTATGAAGAATATCTCCATTCCCCAGATGACAGAACCTTAAGCTAGGTGACCTGCCCAAGGCCACAGAGGCAGGAGAACGGGAACACAAACTCAGATCTTCATGACGGAACTTTTTGTGCTAAATAGGAGTTACCTGAGAAGCCTTAATCTTTGCACACCCTGAGCCTCTTTATTTGTTTTCTTGAGAACTTTTGTGTTGAGGTTATTTAAGTAAGTTTTGGAGAGTGAGTTAATGGAAATTATTTCACAAGGGTGGATATTAATTAAATGCTTTAAGAAATGAGAATTTGCCATTTGGGAAATAACTTGATATTATTTTTCTTCACAGCATAAAAGATGACAACAGCAGCTCGGCCAACTTTTGAACCTGCGAGAGGCGGGAGAGGAAAAGGAGAAGGTGATTTGAGCCAACTCTCAAAGCAGTATTCAAGTAGAGACCTACCCTCTCATACAAAGATAAAATACAGGTAATGAAGACTTTCATTTTCTTGTTCACAAAGCAAGTGGCATGGTCATGAGATAGTAATATGTTTGGGTTATATCACTTAAGTCATCTATTTTTATATAAGTAGAATGTAATAGGATATCTAACACTAAAATTATATGCTAGGATTGTAAAAAGCTACCAGATATTTCTTAAGCAGAAATTCCTGTTAACCAAGAATATCCATAGGTAGATGGAAAAGTAATACATTTCTTCCGAGAGACAATGCACTCTCAGTACTAATCAGTATGAAAATAAAAGCGTTATTGTAATGTTTCCTGAGTTGACCTACTAACAAAAAATAAAGACATTTTAATGGATCTCCAGCCTTATTATGGGAATATATGTGATTCATTTTGGGATTCTTGAAATATTACAAATATCATGTGGGTACCTATAAGTTACCCTCAGATTAGGGTAATATCTCTTCCAATTCCTTCTTTTGTGCTGGAGGGACTTGAGGACAAAGTTGCTTTTTGTGAATTATCTTCCATTGCTACAGCCATAGGTTTTTTAGAAACATTTTTGCCCTGGTTTGTTTCTACTTTAGACAGACCACTCAGGATGCCCCTGAAGAGGTTCGGAACCGTGACTTCAGAAGAGAATTAGAAGAGAGAGAGAGAGTTGCTGCAAGAGAAAAGAATAGAGATCGTCCAACTCGAGGTACCAACACATATGTCTCATAAGATTGTTGACAGTACCCTAACCAGTTTGGCTCTGTGGATAGAGCGTCGGCCTATGGACTGAAGGGTCCCGGGTTCGATTCCGGTCAAGAGCATGGACCTTGGTTGTGGGCACATCCCCAGTGGGGTGTGCAGGTGGCAGCTGATCGATGATTCTCTCTCATTGATGTTTCTAACTCTCTATCCTTCTCTCATCCTCTCTGTTAAAAAAAAAAAAGATTGTTGACAGTACTTTTTCTTTCACTTGGTAATTGGAATAGGCTACTATTTGTGTTTGCTTTTAAATATTGGTGTGAGTTGCAACACTACTAAATGATATCAGATTTGGTTAGATTAGTTAGATTAAAGGTGATAATAAAGTTGATTCTAGTTCCATCTTCTTACGGTTCTGTAGAAGGAATAAGATGACCTGGGGATATTTAGCAGCCATTGTTTCAGTTTAGATCAAAATGTTTATAAGAGCCAGACTTTTTGAGGCCCCATGGTTTCTGCCTATGAAGTTCTCCCATTTTTGTTGGAAGGCATCTAGGGACATATATTTCTAGCTTATGTAAACTATTCTCTAAATTTCCTGAGAGAGGCTACAGTTCCCATATTAAAATCAATACTTTAATTTATTCAACAAATGTTTATTACCAAGGGCTTATTTGGCAGGCACTGTGGTTTTGATCCCTGTGTCATGATAGACATAATCTAAGTTCTTTGTACCCACAGGTCCCTAAATGTTACAAGCAATGCAGTCTTTGTTTCAGTGAGCTAAGCGTTGTCTGTCTTTCCCAGAACATACAACCTCCTCTTCAGTGTCAAAGAAGCCTCGGCTAGACCAGATTCCTGCTGCCAACCTCGATGCAGATGATCCTCTAACAGATGTATGTTTTGTTTCCTCCTTTCATCTCCATAGTAACTTATATCATGTTTTCTGAAATTTTTTTATTCATGTGGTTTTAACCAGTGCCCTGTACTTATTTTTACTTACCTATTATTCAAATGCTAAACTTTATAGTTGACTTTAAAACAAAAAATGTTGCTAGTTAATCAAACTTTATCTCTGGAGAATCAAATAATGAAGTGATTTATTAAAGAATATGCTTCCCTAAAAAATAATTTCTCATATTTACCCATAGAGTTTGGGCTGCCATGTTATCCATCTCCAGAGGGCACTTTTCAGACTGGGCACTCTATCAATAGCAGCCCCTAAAGTTGAACTTTAGAAACCACTGATGCCCCTCCAGGGTGCAGTACACTTACTGGCTCCCTCTACGCTGAGGGAGGGAAGTGAGCTAAGTGGGAGATTTTAAGGGTTAGTGCTTTAGTGACATGAAAATTTAATGGAACCCACAGTCTACAATTAATTTGCAGTTTTCTACTTACAGTGAAATCTGAGTGATCTTTCATGAGTAGCATCTGATTAAGCACATAAATCAGCAATTCTAGAGTGGACAGATTGAATTAAATAATTCAGTTAATTAAATATAGGGAACTCAGTGAGACTTAATGATTATCCATTTGAAATTGGTTTCTTCTGAGAAGTTAGCACCCTTTTAGTACTTTTGATTATCCTAATAGGTCTAAGTTTTAGGCTGGATAAAACTATTTTGATTCTTAGGGTGATACACTACGTATATATGTGCTGTGTATATCAGTGTAAAGTGTTACTTTTCTAGTTTTAGAAATATTTTTATGTCTAAATTCCCTTTGACCATGTAAATTTGAAAGGTACTTTGTTATACTATTTGTTGTTACAATCTCTAAAACATAACAGGGGTTGACATTTTAGTGAATTTTCATAAGCTTTTTTGTGGGTTTTGTTTTTTGTTTAGTTGTTGATTTTAATAATATCTAGGTGCATCTATCTCTCCCACTGGGAAAATTAATCCTGCTCCAAAGACCTGGCAGTTCTTATGGGGGGAAAATTAATAATGTGAATTTTCTCTTCAATGAGCCATCACATTCTTTTTTAGGAGGAAGATGAAGATGAAGATTTTGAAGAGGAGAGTGATGACGATGATACTGCAGCTCTTCTGGCAGAACTAGAAAAAATTAAAAAAGAAAGAGCTGAAGAGCAAGCCAGGAAGGTAAAATGAAAGTGTTAAATATTTACATCTTCTTTCATAAACTAAAGTAGAAATATTTTTAATTTCAAGAAAAAACTAATATTGGAAATTGTCCCTGGTATGTCTAGATATATCACCTGTAGATCTATAAATCTGATAAATTTTTATGGCATTTTAAGTCACTTGGTAATGTGGGAAATTCTTTCCAAATAGTTCAGACATGCTTAATATTATAATACTCATCTTGCTCTTTATACACTTATTTGTTTGTTTTCTCAACAGACATTTAGTTAATGTCTATTAAGTGTCAGAAGAATCAAAAATGATTTAGTCATGGCCTACAAAGAACTCACGAATATAATGAGGTCATCGTCTTGTCTTCCCTGTCTCCTGCTTCAGCCTTCTTTCCAGGCACTTGTTGAAACAGTCTGTCAATAGATTTTACATAATCTAGGGCAGTTGACCTAACTTCTCTGAGTCTCCACAGTCTCTCAGTTCACACAATGGGAGAAAAGAATATCTAACTCAAAGACAGTTGTAAGGATTAAATACGACCCATAGTAATAACAATAAAAGATGAAATTGGAGGCAGGAACAGGCCAAAAGCATTAGAGAGCCCGACCAGCGTGGCTCAGTGGTTGAACTTTGATCTATGAACCAGGAGGTCATGGTTAGATTCCCGGTCAGGGCATATGCCTGGCTTGTGAGCTGGATTCCTTGTAGGGTGCCTGCAGGAGACAGCTGATCAATAATTTTTTCTCATCGATGTTTCTGTCTCTCCCTCTCCCTCTCCCCCTCTCTGAAATCAATTTTTAAAAAAAGCATTGTAAACCAATGCTAAAGGAATTTGGACTCTGTTTTGAAGAATAGGAGCAGCTGGTCAATTTCAACAGGAGATTGGTGAGATTATGCATTTTTAGAATGATTACTCTGACAGAAGTATGGAAGAAGCTATTCCAATAATCCTCAAATGCATTTATGATAATCATGCTTAATAGGAGTTGGAATTGAAAGAAGTTAACAGATGCTGATAGGAGCTATCAAGGAGGTAGAATTGACTAAATAAATTGACTGATCAGATGTGGCAATAAAGATGATCCCATTTTCTGGGTAGATGTTGGTGCCATACACGAACAGGGAATACAGAAGGATGGGCAGAGAGAAAAGAGGTGATACAGAAGGGAGGTGGAGAGAAAAGAGATGATGAGTTCTGTTCGGAACATGTTTTTGATACTTGATACATTATGAGATGACCAAGTAGAGATAGCTATTTCCCCTTTCAACCAGAACAGAGCAGCTCTTTTATGGCGTATGGCATCTGTGTAAGATTACATGTGAGCCAAAGATTGTTCTGTTTAAAAAAAGAGGAAGAAGACTTAGAGAAAAGACTGGCATAGGTTAATGCTTGGAATCTAGGGAGGTTGTAGAGTTCATGTGTTAGCAGAAGGGCCATCAGAAAAGATCAAATGTGGGATAGGCTTTGAAGACTGCTAGAATTCAGATTGGAAGAAGAAAAATAGTTTACTGTTCAGTTATCAGAGTTTGGCATAGGATAGCGTAACTTCTATAATAGCTTATAATTTTTACATCTAATTGTAGTCATCAAAGAATTTAAGAACATTTCTAAAATCACTTGTACACCACTAGAGGGCAATTGTTCTGAATACATAGACAATGAGCAATTCAAATGCAATGGTTAACCTTTAAGGAGGATAAACATTTTAGAACAGTGGTCGGCAAACTCAGTCAACAGAGCCAAATATCAACAGTACAACAACGATTGAAATTTCTTTTGAGAGCCAAATTTTTTCAACCTAAATATATAGGTAGGTACAGTGTTATTAACTTAATTAGGGTACTCCTAAGCTGGCCTTTGCTAAAAACGTCCTCAATCTGATTGAGGTACATTCGCTGAGGTCGACCCCTTCCAACCCCCACCCTCCGAACTCGTCTTGTATACTTGTTTCGTCTATCTCCTTTCGTTCATCCTCTCTATATGTCCAAACCATCTCAACATACCTTTCTCAATCCTCGACACTACATCTTTCACTCCACAACGTTCCCTAAAATTAACTTAATAAACTTTACTTAAAGTTTTAAGTCAACTTCGCACTGTTTGTGCGCGCCCGCACGTGGTATTTTGTGGAAGAGCCACATTCAAGGGGCCAAAGAGCCGCATGTGGCTCGTGAGCCGCGGTTTGCCGACCACTGTTGTAATTTTGTGAGGTTTATCTGATCTCTGTACAAAAATGTGTTGGTGTTTCTTGGAGTTGCCTGAGTTTTAGTTCCCTGTTGCCCTGGCTTTCTAGTGGTTGCTTTGTATGTGTCCTAAAAGAACATTTCAAACCAGTCTGCCTATATCAGGGGTTGGGAAACTTTCTATAAAGGGCCAGGTTATAACTACTTTAGGCTTGTGGGCTACAAAGCCCCTGTCACAACTATCAGCTCTGCCTGTTGTAGCACAAGCAACCCTAGACAGGACCTAAATTAATCAATGTGACTATGTTCAAATAAAATTTTATTTACACAACAGGGTGGTTTGGATTTGACCCCCATAATGTGCCTGGTACTTGAATATGGAAAGAGTTGGCATCTTTTCCAAGGCTGTGTGTAGCAATCAACTAGTAACTCTAAAGGATATATATTCCAAACATAGAATGGCCAGGACCTTATTACATCACACGCACATTGTTATAAGTTTGGATATATTGTATACTTGAGCTCCTATTTTTCTAGCATCTCAGAGTAATGGCTTAAATTTCAGCATTAATATAATTTGTTAAAAAATAAATACATAATTTATAGAAAGCTGTCTGTTCTTAATATATGATGGATGTTCCTGACTTCGTTAAAGATCTGCACAATGGCCTAAATTATTTTTCCCCCTGAAAATTGCATTTTATCACTTTCCAGTTATTTGGCCTCATAAGAAAATGAAATCCAGTGCTCACAGTTGGATGTTGGGGGGACTGGATGGACAGGGGCGTAGAGGGATTGAGCAAAAAAGAGAAAAAGATCATGGACACAGACAAGTGTGTTGTGGAGGGGGAGGGTATAGGGGAGATAAATGGTGATGGACAGAGACTTGACACACAATACAGTGTACAGATGAAGTGTTGTAGAATTGTGCATTTGAAACCTGTATAATTCTATTAACCCATATCACCCCAATAAATTTAATTTTTAAAAAAATGAAGTATCATTAACCTGTACTGAAAATCAGGTTATTTTTCCAGGTGGTTTAACATAAGTTTATTTTATTTATTATTATTATTTTGCTGCTGTTAATTCTCACCTGAGAAAACTTTTTTCATTCTTTTTGTGGAAAGTAGGGGGAAGGAGGGAGAGAGAGAGAAGCAGAGATGGGAGAGAAACACATTGATTGGTTGCCTCCCACAGGTGCCCCAACCAGGGCCAGGGATTGAGTCTGCAACCCAGTACATGCCCTTGACCAGGAATCGAACCTTGGACCACAAGCCAACGACATTCTAACCACTGAGCAACCGGCAAGGGCAACATAGGTTTATTTTAAATGGACTAACAAAGTCTTTTTTTCCGTGCCCTATTAAGTTATTAATTTATCATCCCAAGACACAGCAAAGTGGGATTTATCTTTGGGTTAAGATACAAGATAGCATGGAATCAGATAGGTCTAGAAGTTATGATTATGTATTTTTAGACATTTTATCTTCCTAATTCTAAGAGTGAAACTGAGGGGGATTTGAATTTAAAGAAGTTCATGCTAAAATAAAAGTGAAGAAAGATAAGCTTGTAACTGGTAAGGTATGAGAGGTATAGAAACAGAAAGTACCAAGTCATAAGGACAAAATGAATAAGCCTCAGGTAAATTGCTAGAAATGCATGTTAACATTATAATTTTGAGAGTTTCTTATTTTAGGAGATACTTTTTGGTTAATAAAACTTGTCAATAATTTTAGAGATGCATGTTTACATTGTTAGTAATTCAAAATAAAATTTTTATATTCAGTTATGTATAGCCTTTTAAAAATTGAGGTAATAGTTTTGCTAAATGTCTTTTATGTTTAGTGTATATGTGTGTGTGTGTGTGTGTGTGTGTGTGTGTGTATACACACATATATTTTAAAATATATTTTTAATTTCAGAGAGGAAGGGAGAGGGGGAGAGAGAGAGATAGAAACATCAATGATGAGAAAGAATCATTGATTGGCTGCCTCCTGCAAGCCCCCTAACTGGGAATGGAGCCCAAAACCTGGGCATGTGCCCTGTTCGGGAATCAAACCGTGACCTCTTGGTTCATAGGTCGACACTCAATCACTGAGCCACACTAGCCAGGCTAGTATACTCGAATTATTAGAATGTTTATTGGTCTACTCACTTAAAATAAGCAAATTAGTGATTATTTCAAAAAAGAAAGATTTAAGTATGCATCTGAAGAGTTTTAGAGTCAGAAGACAGTAATGAATGATGGCATGCATGAAACATTTATAATAAAAATGTCAAATTATTTTATTTTGGAAAGGGAGACTTTCTGGTATGTCTTGAAAACAAACAAAAAACAACACTACCTTAATTCTTATCCCTAGCAGTCTTAATATATGAGTTGTATACAAGATTGACGCTGGCCCTGGCTGGTTTGGCTCAGTGGATAGAGTGTCGGCCTGTAGACTGTAGGGTTCCAGGTTCGATTCCAGTCAAGGGCACATGCCCGGGTTGTGGGCTCGATCCCCAGTGGGGGGCATGCAGGAGGTAGCCAATCAATGATTCTCTCTCATCATTGATGTTTCTCTCTTTCTCTTCCCTTCCTCTCTGAAATCAATAAAAATATATAAAAAAAAAAAAAGATTGACCCTGAAGTTACTATAAGTAAATACAAATCTTCCCCTGTCATTGACAGGAACAAGAACAAAAAGCTGAAGAAGAAAGGATTCGTATGGAAAACATTCTGAGTGGAAACCCTCTCCTTAATCTCACTGGCCCATCCCAGCCTCAGGCCAACTTCAAAGTTAAAAGAAGGTACTATATACAGTAATCAGTTGAAAATACATACACACGTGAGTTTTGTGTAAAGCTTTTAAAATTCCACTTTTCACTGGTAATCATCTGTGTCCGATTTTGGAATAATGGAAGAAGGAGAATGAGAGGAAATAATATATTTTCCATAGATATTTACAGTAACCAGCTGTGTACCAGCTACTGTTGTAAGCATTAGAGACGGAGCAGTTCACTGAGCCTTTGACCCTATGAAGTTCACGTTTTAGCTATGTGAGTCAAGGATCCCAAGTCCACCCTTCACATTCAGAGACTCACTAGGAGGATTAGGGTCTCAGCATATAGTTGTACTCATGACAAACAAAGTTACACAGCCAGATCATAAGGGGAAAAGGCATCAAAGGAATCCAGGCGCACGCTTCCTTACGCTCTGTATCTTCCATGAGGGGCCACACACAGCACATCTTTTCCCCTGGCAACGAAAATGTAACATCTGTGCAATGGTTCTGCCCAGGGAAGCCCTTTAGAGACTCCATGCCCAAGGGTTTTATGTCATAGAGGTAACCACTGCCTAGCATATACCAAAATTCAGACTCCCAGAAGGGAAACAGCTGTTCCACATAAACCACAGTATTTGTACAAAGAGTCTAGGCACAGTGATAGTGAGAAGATTCTTGGAGTCCAAGTTTCCAAATGCTAGCTTAGGGCCAACCTTGCAAGCGGCGCCTTTCTAAGGACAGCAGTTTTAAGCCTACCATATTTACTCTTCTGTATAGTGGGCGTGTTTGGAGGGGTGAAGTAAAAGGCTGAAGAGGGAGAGACTATAAACAAAGCTCAGTTGGTTTGAGTGTCATCCGATAAGCCAAGGCTGTGGGTCGATCCTTGATCAGGGCGTATACAAGAAGCAACCAATGAGTGCATAATTAAAGTGGAACAACAAACCGATGATTTATATTTTCTCTGTCCCTCCCTCTCGCCCCCTCCTCCTCCCTTCCATCTCTCTAAAATCAATTAAAAAATTCTTTTAAATAAAGTTATCTGCTACATAGGAAAACCACTATTAAGCATATAACCACTACCACCCTTAAGAAGCAAAACAATAATAATAACTGAATATAGTACTTGAGGTAGTGATACATAGGCAAATAAAACAGAACAGCTTATAGGAAGTGCTGAGTGGGAGGAAGCTTGGTTGTTATTTTGTATAAGGTGATCAAGGAACCCCGTAGGCTTAGCTTTCACACATATCTATGATTTCTCACCAGCTCCACTGCTACTATCTCCAAGCAGGCCCTCACTGGTATGCTTACGCGCTCACACTCTCCTTCCCCACCCCCAGTTTTTTCCTAACACAGCAGTGTTGTGGTCCTTTTAAAGTGAAAGATCACAGTCTCCTGTTTTAGGCTACCCCGTGGCTTCCCAACTCATTTATAGTAAAAACTCGACTCCTTACAATGGCAACAGCATGGTTAAGGACAGTAATTGCCTGGCAGCTGACATTAGCAGAGGCCAGACTCTAAGGTATTTGACCTGAACATTAAAGGATAGAGATGGGGAAGAATGTAAACAGAAGTGGTTGGGGGAGGTGACAGATACAAGATGTCAAGTTCAGAATGTTATATAAATCTACGTGGAGATGTTGAGTTAGGTAGCTTGATGAGTGGTTCTGGAGTGAATCCAGGCTAGAGACAATAAATTTGGGAGCTGTCATCTTACAGAAGTTTTCTAAAGCCACAAAGACTAGATGAGGTCACCTAGAGAATGAGTGCAGCTAGAGGGAGAAGTCAGAGGGCCAAGCCCTGGATAACGTTTAGAGAGTAGATAGGTGGTTAACTCTCAATATCTGGAACATACTGGGTGCCCAGTACATACTACCCAGTATTTACATGCCCAGTAAATATTGATTAAATGAAAAAAGGAAAAGAAAAAAAACCAGGCTAAGAAGGAGTGAGGAAGGAGGTGAAGCAAAAGATTGGTGGGTGTCTTGGAAGCCAAGCAAACAAGGCTTGCTTTCGAAAAAAGGAGAGTGATAGGTCAAGTAATGATGACAGGGCAAGTAAAATGAGTGCTGGAAAGTGGCCCTTGGACTTAGCAACATGGAAGAGCAGGTTGATGTTGAGAAGGAGGCTAAAAGCCTGTTGGGAGTGAGTTGAGAAGGTGGATAGAGGAGAAACTGCATCAAGTATATTGATGTTAAACCAGCCGTGGGCAAACTACGGCCCGCGGGCCGGATACGGCCCGTTTGAAATGAATAAAACTAAAAAAAAAAAAGACCGTACCCTTTTATGTAATGATGTTTACTTTGAATTTATATTAGTTCACACAAACACTCCATCCATGCTTTTGTTCCGGCCCTCCGGTCCAGTTTAAGAACCCATTGTGGCCCTCGAGTCAAAAAGTTTGCCCACCCCTGTGTTAAACTCTACTTTGTCCTCCTGCCTTGTTTGGATGCAGTTAGAATTGTGTGGCGACTGGAACAGTCTTAATATGCAGGTCACAATTGACCCAGCTCTACTCAGCTTTTCACTCACCTGTGTCCTGCACCACGATGAGCTTATTGACACTTTCCACAGATGCCATGCTCTTGGCTTATTGTCCGAGTGCAGTGTCTTCTGGCATGCAACTTGTGCATACGAACACATCACATGGCTTCCATTTTATATGTATTTGTGAGAGTATATATTACAGAGTGGATTTTTGTTTTATAGGCTAGATGGCATTTTGAAATTACATTCTTGGTTTTCTATAAAACGTTATTTTGTAGCCCATCCATGGGTGTTTTATGCTTGTGCATTATGAAACCCAACCAGAAGAATCCAACCACAGTCCTGCCCTAAGCTCTTCAGCTTCTGTTTCTTCATGGTTTATGCAGATGTGTGCCAATATATGAGCGTTATTGTTATATGCCAGTACTTCTCCTTTTGTTGTCCTAAAATGCAGATACGACAGTGGATGATTACTAAATGCTAACTGATGAAAGAGTACATAAAATGCTTAAAACCGCATAATCTGAACTATAGTAAATTGGTCAGTTATCATCTAGAGTTGTCTGTATTAATCAGGGTGGTACCAGGTACTGCCTCTTTGTTTTAGAACTGAAAACATTTGATATTTATGCAGTTAAAGTTTATATATTTCTGCTTTCTGAGTTAGTCAAAGCATCTTGTACTGGAGACGTGACAAGAATGTTTTATATGTTCTAATAGGAATTGCCCTTTCTGCTGTGATAGAGCTAGATCACAGCCTATTCAAAATTACTGTCTTCTTTGGGGCATATGTAATTGCTGCCTCTGTTATCATGCTGAACACCTTTCTGTGTAATGACTAAGCTTTGCAATTCACACGGTGTATCTCCTGATACAAGCATTATAAGAACATTTTATTTTCTTTTTCTTCAGATGGGATGATGATGTTGTTTTCAAGAACTGTGCAAAAGGTGTGGATGACCAGAAGAAAGACAAAAGATTTGTTAACGATACGCTGCGATCTGAATTTCACAAAAAGTTCATGGAGAAATATATTAAATAGTACAGTTTTATGTGCTTTATTAAAGACTATAAAATGTAAATGATCATTCTGACTTTACTTGGTTAGTTTCTTGTTTTTTATTCCTTTTCCCCCACATTTAAATTGTGAATAGGCTTTCCTAACTTTAAGTTCCAAAATATCTTTTCCTTGACTGATACCTTATTTGATAAGTAAGAATTTGGGAATTGTCTTAAACCAGTTTCCAGTCTCTGAATGTTTTCAGTCAGGTTTTCTTTTTAAGATTCAAAAGGTAATCTGCTTATAATGTTTTTAATAATTCAAATAACCAAATTCATTTCCCCCAACTTTTTTGTTGAAATGTATGCAGCTTATGAAACATTGCATATTTTCTTTTGTGTATTGTATTTCTTTGTACATTAACTTTCTCCTCATTTCTCTAACATGGATTTAAGGGCAGTTAATTCATGATATCTTCCTGTGTTTTTTTGAAAAGTATGATGAAAGATTAAAGGGATTCCATCCAGGCCCATATGCTGCAATGGAAATGTGTCATCAGCCAGGAAGCACCCTGATTTGTGTGAGGGAGCACAGGGTATCTTCCTTTCCCAGAGGCTCCTGGCCCAAGGCGAGAGCTCCTGAAGCTGCTGAGGAAGCATGTGGCATCACCTTGTTCTCCTGGATACTCAGCTGCCATGTTTCTGTCAAATGGGATAGAGTCTGCACACCGCCACACATTAGATGCAAAGCCTAGGGAAATTTTAACATCAAACGATACATGAAATAAAATTTTTGGAACCTGGCCAGTGTGGGTCAGTGGTTGAGTGTCGACCCATGAACCAGGAGGTCAGGGTTTAATTCCTATGCCCAGGTTGCAGGCTCTATGCCCAGTAGGGGCCGTGTAGGAGGTAGCCGATCAGTGAATGATTCTTATCTCTCCCCTCCTCTCTCTTAAATCAATAAAAACATATTTTTAAAAAACAACCTTTGGCAATTGGATTTTGCTTATTTGTTATCTTGGGAGGATGTGTACATGTAAAGTGGAAATGTCTACTCAGCTAGGAAATGAAGTTTTCCATAAACCCAGGCTGTGATTTTAAGGGTGTCATTGGATAGAAAGTTTGGAACCAAACATTGAGCCTTCTACAGATACACATAAAGACCCATTCTAAGACCTTATCCACTAGCCGTGGTCGGCAAACTGCAGCTCTTTGGCCCCTTGAGTGTGGCTCTTCCTAAGTCTTAGGAGTACCCTAATTAAGTTAATAACAATGTACCTACCTATATAGTTTAAGTTCAAAAAATTTGGCTCTCAAATTTCAATCGTACTGTTGGTATTTGGCTCTGTTGACTAATGAGTTGGCCGATCACTGCACTACAGCATTTCCCCAGTGGGAGCCTGAACAGGGATGCGTGCAGCCTTAGTTGGGAGTAGAGCTGGAGATGGAGCCCAGGTGGACTCATTCATGCCCTGCACTTCATTTCCCAACTGAGCTATTGACTCAAGATTATGAATACTTTGACTAGTTTTTTTTAATTATACTAGAGGCCCGGTGCACAAAAATTTGTGCAATGGGGGGGAGGGGGGGGGTCCCTCAACCTGGCCTGTGCCCTCTCGCAGTCTGGGACCCCTCAGGAGATAACGACTTGCTGGCTTAGGCCTGCTCCCAGGTGGCAGAGGGCAGGCCCAATCCCTAGGTGCAGCCCCTGGTCGGGCTCAGAGCAGGGCCGATTGGGGAGTTGGGACGCCACCCCCTGTCATGCACAGAGCAGGGCGGATCGGGAGGTTGCGATGCCACCCCTAGTCACGCTCAGGGTAGGGCCGATTGGGGGGTTGGGGCACCGCCCCCTGTCACACTCAAGGCAGGGTCGATGGGGAGGTTGCGGCGCCAC